CCCCCCCCCCCCCAAAAAAAAAAACCAGCATTAGCTTCTGGCTGAGCCTCCCCCTCGCAAACCCACAAACAAAATATGTAAAGAAACATCAACTTTTAGAATGTTTTAACTTGCATTCACTGTATTCAATTAATTATTACAGCGGCTGAGCATAAGAATGTTATTAACTAACATGTTTAAACACTGAATTATATTCCCACTGAAAAAACAACTTTTCAACAAACTGTTGACCAGAAGAACAAAACAAAATGAATCTAACCTCTCTCTCAAGCATGTTCATCTGGAAATGATGGATACAGATTGCCCTAGTGGGCAATTTATTGTTATTATTATTTCTATTTTTCATTTCTATTTTAATCTTCTCTCCAGCTCTCTGGAGCTCCTCTAGCGCCCCCTGGCGGCCCTACTTTGAAAAACTGGTTTAAAGAGTGTGAAACTTCCAGCATAAGCAATTGGTTGCTGTGGCGTGACAACTCTGTTGTCTTGACTGGTGTGGCATTTTGTGTTTGTGTGTCTCTACATGTTTTTTGTGAATCTGGTGTAGGATTATGACCATGTTTCCCAAAGCATTGCTTTGAGGGCGAGGAGTAGAGCCCAGGTTTGGTTTTACAGGTTTTCCTCTAGAACCACATCATAGCTGAGTCTGCATCAGGCGACTTCATCCCCAGTTGGACTCCTCCAAGACTGCTTCTAGTGATATCGCAGGAGCTCAGTTCACAGTCAGGGAGAGAAGGGGTCACATTTTAGAACCTCCGGCTGTCGTTCCACTTTTTGATCTTGTGTTTCTGTTGGTATCTTCAACGACCTTTAACGTCTTCAGCTCCTCCAAGTCAGTCTGAGGTTCAGGTTTTCAACCAAAACAAAGGTAGAACGCTCCCGTAGGAAGTGAGTCTTTGCCTCAAGTGGAGCGTGAGATGGATTGATGGATCATTTCCTCATCCTCAGCAATGAGGAAGTTGCTCCAGTCTGTCATAGTGAAAAGGGAGCTGAAACAAAAAGTGAAGTTCTCAGATTACTGGTCTTTCTGCACTCCAACCCCCCCACCTGTGATCACGAGGTATGGATGTTGACTTGCAAGTTCTTGGATACAAACAAGTGGCTGAGCTTGGCCTTAGAGATAAGGTGAGGAGCGCCATCATCAGGAGGGAGCTCAAGGGAGTGCTGCTGCTCCTCCACAATCAAAGGAGGCATGTTTGCTGTAGGGATTATGTCTGCTCCCTGACCTGGGAATGCTTTCAGATCACTGAGGAGCAGCTGGAGGGTGTTGATGGGCCAGGAATGTCTGGGTTTTCGTTTTGTAGCTGCTGCCTCCATGGCCCAACTATTGATAAGTGACAAATAGTGTAAATGGACCGTAGTAACAGGTTCTACAAGAACGTTGTGTAGACGCGTGTACTCTTACAACAACACGAATTTCAAGAGCACTAAACGTATGCAGCAGAGACCACATTCCATCATGAAGAAAGTATTTATGTCAAGAACCCAACACACCACTTTTATACAGCTTTAACATAACAAAAGACAAAAGCTACCAACGCTCCACAAGGTAGAGCAGACGGAGGGTTTTTAGGATAAGATTTTGTGGCACTACTATTATTATTAATATTGTTATTAACCTTTTATAACCATGAAAATCCCATTGAGATCACAGATCTCTGTTTCAAGAGAGGCCTGGGCCTATTATAGATCCCTGCATCACTTACTTTACTCTGGTGAGCATGAGAGGTGTGTGACGTTTCAAACTGCTATGTTTAAACAAAACAGACAGGTAAAAGAATAAAAAGGTGCTGTATTACGTTTCAAATAGTTTTACCCATCACAAATTGCACAGTGACTGTGTTAACAAGAAGACGAACAGTCCCCACAGAAAGACTAAGTGATACAAAATAGAATAGAATAGAAACAGCCTTTATTGTCCCACAGAGGGCAAATCCAAGTGTAAGAGCAGCAACATTAAATATATAAAGGCTCACACAAAAAGTTTCTAAAACGTCAAAAAACAATATATAAAGAAACAAGATAAACAATAACAATAATGATAATAATACACTATACAAGACTATAATAGAAAATACGGTGCAGTTTTTTAAAATAGTCATGTCAAGATGTGCATAATGTTCGATGTGTATTGAACTTTGAGAAGGACAGACTGTTACAGTACAGATGATAGATTCAACACGTCTGAAAAACAGATGTAGTTTGGAGTTTACAGAAAATAAAACTTTCAGGCTGTGAAAGTTGGATTGAGAAATGCAGCATAATCTCAGCCTGTGGCACGATTATCTCCGAAATTAATTTTTGGTTTGTGGCGCTACAGCTCGTGCTCCTTGCTAACCTCGCTTCATCCCAACGTGAACCTCATTTAGTGCAAGCAACAACTCTCCACCAAATCTGACATCTGTCCTCTCATTTCTCAATGATTTCAAGTTCAGATTTTAACATCTGCACACACTTCCTGTTTGCATTAGAAATTGCAGAGCAGCTCCCTCACTTACTGTCGCTGTAATGAGCTATGCTAATGTAATGAGATGATCAGTGTTACACATTTCACTTGTCTACAAAACCGAGAGGCACTAATGTTGCTGCTGACAAGAGAACAACGATCACAGAGATCATTTTTCATAGTATTTTTGACATTTGGTTTGCTTTTTGAAGACGTTTTTGACTGACTCATTCATCTCAGTTGCTGACTGATCATCGTCCCCATTGCTAAAGCAAAAAGGAGAAATAGTTTTATGCGTATTGTGTGCGCATGTGTTCATTTGTCGTCTGTTTTAGGAAAACATTTTTTGAACCACAGAACAAATTTTAAGTAATTTCTAGATAACAACCATTGAATCTAAAACTGATTAACTTTCGGAGTGAACCCAGTTCAAGATGGCTGCTGCTGCCAACGGATCCTATAAAACCCATTATTGGATGAAACTCAATCAATTTGACTGATGTAAAACTTGATGCTTTTGTAGTCAAAAGTCATGCTCACCACATCCTGTAAGCACTAACAGATGAAGGAATGAGGTGACTTTAATTTGAACCTTTATTTGGCAACATATTCCAAACTTTAGGAAATAAAAAATGACGGTGCTATTAAGAAGAAAATTGCTCATGAGTTTCAGAGAAGAAGAAAAAAAAACCAACGTCTGCAAATATTGCTCGCCCTACTTTGGCAGAAACCCATGGCACAAACAAGTGGTTTGAAGTCACACGAGCAGAAGATTTTAATGACATCTGTAAACTTTTGTCTTAGTTTTCAATTTCATCTAGTTTCACTGGGTTTTATGGTTGGAAGGACGGTCATGAGACTTAAAACCTTGTGACACGCATCAGTCAGGGAGTCAAGCAGGACAGAAGGACAGATTAAAGATCAATAACATGTCACTTTTTTTTTGGACAAAAACTAACAAACAATTATTTTTATTTAAACATCTCTACACCGTGTTTATGACTGCTTTATATTTTTTAGTTTGATTATGAACTGGTCATTCCTGATTAAACAGCTATAGAGCTAAAGTTTGCACAAGAATTCATTGATTAGTTAAGATTAAAAAAATGAAACAAAACTGAAAAAACAAAACAAAAAAAAAACAGAACAACCAGGTTAGAATAATAATAATGAAAATATAATAATAACAACAAAATAACTGGACTTGTGTCTTGTAGTTAAAGATGTTTTAGTTCCCATCCAGGATGTTTTGTGTATACCGTATTTTCTGGCGTACAAGTTGCAGCTTTTTTGCATAGACTTGTCAGTCCTGCAACTTATATATGTTATTTTTTCCATATTCATAACACAATTTTTGACTGATGCTTTAAATTTCTAAGAACTGCAACAGTGAGTCCTCCCATGCGCGATCCCTTCACTCTGCTCGTGCAGGCGGGAGAACGCTGGAGAGCTAGCAGCTCCAGCTGCGATGGATAGAGGGCGCCGCGCCACCCAGGCGAAATGAAGCTGTTTCGACCATTACATAAATGCACAATCAACACAACGGGTCAGCGATGACGCATAATAAATGCAACTTATACGCCGAAGCGACTTATATATGTTTTTTCTTCTTTGTGATGCTTTTTTTTTGGACTGATGCGACTTATACGCCGGAAAATACGGTATATGGGACAAATGCTTATAAAAATGGTGCATGTTTTATGTGTATTTGAGGACTTTAGGAGAATTAGAAAATTTGCAAAACTTCAATAAAAGTTGAACAGTTTTACAAAAACGTGCATGCATTTAAAAATTTTTTTTTAAACAAAATGTGTAAATTATTTTATCTATACACCTCTCTGTTATCTTCCGGTCATGGGGTACGTCCAGACACCTCTTTCCACAGCCTCCTCCAGGCCTCCTGAGAGACGTAGACTCTCCTGCGTGTCCTGCGATGTTTTTAGTCATCAGTTTTCAGACGAAGAAACGATCAGGCAACTTTTCATGTAAAATCTGATGGTTCTTGTAAATCACTTGAAGTTTCGGTGTCACCCCAAGAGCCACGCACCTTTTTAAAGAAATAAAAACACATCAAGGTACATTTAGTGTTCTCAAACATGGCATACTGTAGTTTTTTCTGCTTATATGAAAAAGCTTGGTTAAAACTCTTGCATGACTTCTTGTTTATTTGCTTTTTACTTTTGAATTTTAACTTTAAAAAAATCTCTGTGACTGAATGGAATCAGAGGAGAGCATGGATCTATGGTTTCTAATGTAAAAAAAAAAAACCATAATGCTCACGGCTCAGGTGACTTCATTTGGTCAAAACAAGGAAGTGCTGAGCAAACTTACAGAAAACTAATGAGTAACTCTGACATTCCCCAATTTGCTGAATACGTTTGACAATCTGCCAACTTCTCATAATTCAAAACTCCACCCATTTTTTTCATATTCTTCTGTCAGAACGCCTGGTTTACCCAATTATTGTTTATGAACCCATGACAACCACCTGACAGGAACACTAGACTCATAACCAGGCACCTATATAAGGACTGTCAAACCCTGCACGGTCACAGGCAGAGGGAAATACCTCAACGCACACGCCGAGAACGAGGCAGGTAAGCTGCTCCATTGGAGATAACACGATTCTGTAATCTATTGACAACGATACAAAGGGTGGGAAAGAGAGCTGGAAGATAAGATGAAAGAGAAATTCCAAGAAAGTACTTTACAGAAGAGATGTTCTGAGACATCGGACATTATATCAGGAAGGAATTGTAAAAAAAAAGGTTAAATGGTGCAACCTGTGTGTTTTCCTGCAAGTCTTGAAGGATCTCTGCTTTCTTCTGTCCAGTCAAGATGAAGTTATTGCTTATTGCTGCTGCTCTGGCTGTGGCCAGCTGCGCCACCATTTCCCTGGAAGACCTCGAGTTTCACGCCTGGAAACTCAAGTTTGGTGAGAAACAACAAGTCGAGTGTTTTTAATACAAATTTAATTTTGTTTGGCTCTGATTATCTTTTATTTTACTGATCGTCAGGGAGATCTTACAGCTCCTTATCAGAGGAGACTCATCGCAAGCAAATCTGGCTCACCAACCGCAAACTGGTGCTGGTGCACAACATCATGGCGGATCAGGGCATCAAGTCTTACCGCCTCGGCATGACCTACTTTGCTGACATGGTACTCTAACATTGTTGTTTTCTCTAACAAGGTTAAATCAGGTCCTCTGGATGGATTCTTCTTTCATCTTGTATCCAAAGGACTTGTTCAGTCCGAGGAGCTGCAACAAACTCAGTCTTATAAACAGCATGTTCTCATAGTGTATCAACCAGTTTGATGGTGACATCCAGAACCAGCAAACTGGTTCATCCACTGTGAGAAGGTGCTATTCATAAGACTGAGTTTGTTGCAGTGCCTCAGACTGAAGAAGTCCTTTGGATGAAAGACGAAACGTTTCAACAAAGAAGAATTCATCCAGAGGACCTGACTTAATCTTGTTAGATTCATCTCCCTGGATTATTGAGCATGCATCGGAACATTGTTTCTTTCTCTTTCTCTCTCTTTTTTTAGGAAAATGAAGAGTTCAGGCGTTTAATTTCCCAGGGCTGCCTGAAAGCCTTTAACACCTCTCTCCCTCGTCGTGGTTCTACCTTCCTCCGGTTGCCTGAGGGAAGCCCTCTGCCCGACACTGTCGACTGGAGGGACAAGGGATATGTGACGGACATCAAGGACCAGAAACAGTGTGGCTCCTGCTGGGCCTTCAGCACAGTTCGTACAATAATACCTTGATGATGAATGAATCCACCAAGCTTCATGTAATATCAATTCTTTTACATTTAACATGAACTTCTCCTTAACGTAGACCGGCTCTCTGGAGGGTCAGACCTTTAGGAAGACAGGAAAGTTGGTGTCTCTGAGTGAGCAGCAGCTGGTTGACTGCTCCGGGGATTATGGCAACATGGGCTGTGGTGGTGGCTTGATGGACTATGCCTTCCAGTACATCAAGGCAAATGGAGGGATAGACACAGAGGAGTCCTACCCATACGAGGCAGAGGTAAAAAATGGTCTCATGGAAGAGGTGCACAACACAGCCATCTAGTGGATATAACATATATTAGCTTTTCACCTTGGAAATTGTATACTGTATGGGAATGTTTTGTGAAATGTAACATATTTTCCTCTCAATTAGGATGGACAATGCCGTTACAACCCTAATACCGTTGGTGCCACCTGCACAGGGTATGTTGATGTGACTTCAGGTGATGAAAACGCCCTGCAGCAGGCTGTGGCCACCATCGGACCAGTGTCAATAGGCATTGATGCAGGTCACGAATCCTTCCAGTTTTATGATTCAGGTAATTACTTTTAATACGCTTTAACCAAAAATTAGTCGTTTACCATCTACAGTATCAGTCTAACTGAGGAACTTGTGTTTAGGAGTGTATGATGAGCCTGACTGCAGCAGCGAAGACTTGGATCACGGTGTGCTGGCTGTGGGTTACGGCACTGAAGACGGGAAAGACTACTGGCTGGTCAAAAACAGGTGCGGCTTTAATGTTTCCTTAATGTGCTAATGAACACAGTAAACGTATTTCAGTTTAACAGAGAAGATCTTTTATTTAACCTGTATGGAACGAGAGGTGAAACCCTGTTTTGTTGTGTATTTGCGCAGCTGGGGTCTTGACTGGGGGGTCAAGGGATACATCAAGATGTCCAGGAACAAAAATAATCAGTGTGGAGTTGCCACTGCCGCCAGCTACCCACTGGTCTGAACAGGTCACAAGAAACTTTATTTTTGTTTCAGGTACAACCTCACACTAAAAAAAAAAATCTTTTTTAAAGAAGATAACTTGAAGATACATTTAAGCTTGAAACAATTTAAATGATTATTTCTTGGTTTTGCAGGTCCAGGATCTTCTTAAACAACGAGGCCAAGAGTGACATTAAATTAACTTTAATTGTTGTTTTTCCAGTTACCGTTTTGTGTAACTCAGAATCTTAATTATGTTTTGTAGCAATTTGTTTTTTAATATTTTCCATGCAAGTTAAATGTTGCACTTGTAATAACTTTTTATGAACACTGTAAATAAATGCTAGGAAATAAAATGTTTGACACTTAAAAACAGACACATTGCAGCTGTGTTCTTTGCTTTGCTTCATGTGGTTTATAATCAATACACACTCTTTTTGTTCCTTTCTGTGCACTGAAGGTGGTGGCCTTTACTTCAGCTAAGATTGGGATAATTATATTTGGGTCAAATAATCATGCAATTTAATTGACACAAATTATGCAAAAACTTAAGCAAAACTGGGCTAGCTGGAATATAAATATTAATATATAGAGTGTAGTTTTGGTGCAATTTTAATCAAAGTACCTTCATATAAACAGTAATGACACAAAATGTACAACATAGTTTATATTTTTTGTTGCTGATGCTTTGGATTAATATTACCGAGCAACTTAACTGTTTAACAGATGTTACACTCATATTTAAACCAAGTTTATCAAGGTCAAGGTTTCTTTATTGTCATTCACATGTGGTACATGTGGCGGAATGAAATTGTGCACAGGGTTCCAGTTACATTTAACAAAAGTATAAAATGTAAAGAAAAACAGTCAAAAGATCTAAGATATGAACTAAGAAATAACTGTGCAACGACGAAGCACACTGGTGTGATGATAAATTTATTTACTTTTG